ACATAATCTCTTATGTAAGATATCGTACTTATTGCTTGACTTGAGATTGATTGTGGGAAGCTTATAAATGCGGGATGAGACCATTCGGGGTCCCAAACATAATCTGATTGTTCTGTGATAGCGGTATCATCGTTCGAGTTTTGGGGTCTAAAATTTTTTCTTGCTTGTGCAATTAAATCAATATTGTGTGTGAAATAATCTATTATGAACCATGCCAAAATTTTTTGTAGATCGTGTTTTGTATGTTGTGAAACGTCGTCTTTCGTGAAATTTTCTTTAATGATGTTTAAATAACTAGAGAGTAGTGTGATTTCATGTCGTACTCTTAAATGTTTAGATGTTTCTGTCGGTGAGACATTTGTTATTGGGATTTCGTTTTCTAATATCGAAATATAACTATATATTATTGCGAAAACTTCATTGGTGAATATGGAGTTTGCTCTTTGTGAGTTATGATATTGGATGCTTTTTATATATTCTGAAAAAACTTTTGAAAATTCTAAATCAAGGTCGTCTGTTTGAATTGTATATTTTCTATTATTATGGTTTGGTGAGGTGAATTCTATGGAGTAGATTCCATACTGTTGTGTTATGTTGCATATATCTTTTAAGTAGTGGTCTATGATTTGTCTTTTGATTTTTACATCTGGGAACTCTGTTTTACATGGACTAATTCCGGGTTCAAATAAATTTACGAGTAAATTTTTACAAAATATGTGTTGTCCTCTATCAGTATCTGCGTCTACTATAAAAGGAAAGATTTCATCATCATCTGGAGTTTCTTCACCTGGAGTGTGCGTTGAGCTCATTTTTTCGTTCGATTACTGTTAATATGTAATTATTAATGTGTCGAATTGGTTGATTCCAATTGTATAAATGTACTGGTTTGTGTTTGTACTGCTTTTTTATTCTTCTTTTTCCTCTTTGTGATGAATTTGAAGTTGTTTCTGAGTCAGAGAAATATAATTGATCGTGAATTGGGCAATTTTTATCTATTGATTCTTTTAGTTTATAAAGTTCGTCTAAACTGTTGGTTTCTGATTCTGAAAATGCGTTTCGATTTTTTGAAAATCTTTTTCGTGTTATTTGTCTTTGTTTAGTTATTATTTTTCTCTTTAGTGTTTGTCGTTTTGTTCGAATGTATCCAACTGTTTGTGTATGAGGTGTGATTACAAGGTCGTATTTTTTGTTATCTATTTCACAATTGTGTAAAACGATTGTTTGTTTATTTCCTAGGTTTTTAAATGACATAAGGTTTAGAATGACGGATGCAAAGGGTTGTTAAATGATTTCTATTTTCCTAAACTGTTAGTTCTTACGATTTTTTGGTTAGCTTAACCTGGGTCTGTTTGTTCAGGGTTGGAGAGAAAAGTATATCGATTCCGAAGAATGATTTTTTACTTTCTCGTGGCTAGTATAAGTTAAGGTGTTAACTTACTTAATCTTACTTAGGGGTAGTGATTGTGTTCAAGGGTTGGAGAATAGTAAATCGATCCACAAGGTTCAGGTATAATTAGAACGCGAGTAGTTCGTTAGATACTATTTTAAACTTACTAAGTCTAAGATTTATCCTGGGTCTAGTAAGAGGGGGGGTCAAGTGAAGGATGAATAACCGAAGTTCTTCACTATTTATCCTAATTTGAATGATTAGTTTTGTTTAAAAATTTCTATTAGTCTTGGGTCTTTAGAAAGGGTTGGGTAGTGAATCGACGTTTGAGGTCGTTAGACACTAATTAAGTGGGTGGGGGAGAACAAAGTTGTTCTGTTTGATCCAAGGATAAGCCTTGATGATCAAATTTGAAATTTAATTAAGTAGAAAATGATTTAAGATCCAAGGATAAGCCTTGATGATCTGGTTTTAAAATTAAGTGAATTTAAGTTTTAATAAATTTTTAAATGTGTGTAAAGGAAAGATTTAGTGTTTTGATGATATTAGTTGGTTTATGATTGCTGTTATGTTTTAGATGATGGAGCTGGAACAACAGGATGATTTATGATTACTAACCATTTATTGTCATGCTACTAATTTTTATTTTTTATTTTTCAATAAATATTTTTCAAACATGTTTTGTATATTACTGCAGAATTTTAGGAAAACGATCTTAGATCTTTTTATCAATCGTTATTGTATATTAATAATTTTGTTTAGCGCCTAAAATGATTTTGAAGATTAACTTCAAGGTTTTATGTTTGCAAATGAAAATCTAAATTCATTGCCAGTAGTATTCTAAATATAAAAGTTTGTTCTGGTTTTTGCCTAACTATCATATAGCTATATGGCAAGTTTCTACTTTGTCGTATGTCGTCTCTGGTTCGAGGTCTTCTTCCAATTCCGGGTAGTTCTGTTATGGTTCGGAATATTGGCTCTGATCTATTGAGTCGTAGAGACATTTCGATTAAATTATTGTCGTATAACATTTTGTAAATGTTTTTGTCTAATTTCTAATCTATTTTGGTTAATTCTAAGCTATTAAGGTCTTGTTCGAGACTTATGGTCGCACCAGATGAGTTATGACCGAAGTGGTTAACTCATAGAGTAATTTCGGATAGGGTACACCGTCTGCTCGTCACGCTATCTTATTTTCGGCCGGATAGATTCGTGCAACTTCTTAGTCTAATACCGATCCTAATCTTACTCTTATACTATCTAGTCTCAGGTTGTTTAACTAGTCTCTGCTAGGCTCAATAGATCTAGGGTATACTGGTTTATTGCGGCTGCTGAAGTGCTCGGGAGAGTCCAACTAATTTCTAAGTTAAATTCAAATCTCTCTGGTGCTGAAATTACAAGTAACTTCAGCACTTACAAATAAGTGGGTTGTTAGTTAGATGGATCATGATTGGTTAATATTAAATACTTTACATTGGTAAAATATCTAAATTATCCAATCATAAAATGTAGTTTAGATCAGGTTCCACTAGTTATACAAATACAAGCGAACAGAGTTTTTTTTTGCGCTGAACTGATAACCAGGGATAGGCAATATTTTAAAATTAATGACGTTTTTTTTCTAGTCCAAAACGACCTACATAAGAAAATTCGAGCAATTGTTTGCTTGAATTCTCAAAAGAAATGCTTGAGTTCTCCTAAAAAACAATTCGGGCTTCCCAGTCAAGTTCACCGCTACACACAAGCCATTAAACAGGTGATTCGTTTGCAACAAACTTGACAGCCGATTTAAAAAGACGAAACAAACAAAGCAGGCATTGTATAGTCACGTTGTTTCGCTCTGCTTGTTGCACAGAGAGCGAAGAAGACGTTTGTAGTCGTCTTGTCGTATAAGCGACTGGATTTTCAGTCCTGGAACTGCGTCGCCTCTGGGCCCAGGAAAATTCACGGACAGAGAACGAAGAAAAAGAGGTGAAGCGTGTAGACATGGGATCTTTGGCAACCAGCATCTACAAGATCACGAATTTTGATTTCATAATGATTGCAACGTTTACGAAATAGACTTTTACTTCTAGACTCTTAACTTACTAGAGGCCAGCTAAAGCTGGAAATACCTGTTTGATAATTTTTGATTTTTTTGTACTGATGCGGAAGGGCAAGGGTAATTTCAAAAACTGGGCTTCACCCAAAACCTTAGTTGGTTCTCTTATAAACTAACTAGGAGTGAATTTTTTTGAGATCGATTTGGTAGAATAACCTCCGAGAAAATCAAGAATTTTAAAATATTGAAGTGATTACAAGAGCATGTTAGGTTGAAAGATGCTAAAAACGTTGCTCATTAGATTTGGGTGGGTAGTTTTTGAGAAAAGTCGAAAAGTTTTAAAAAATAGTAAGAAAATCGAAAATTTGACATTTCCGAGGGTCATAACTTTTTGTGTAAAAAAATTAGGCGTAATAATTTATGCAGCGGAGTTTTCCACAACCCGTTCCACTCATTGAAACCAAAATCTCAACTTTGGAATGATAGTTTTCGAGAAAAGTTGAAAAGTTTCAAAAAACGGTCAAAAAATCGTAAACTTGACTTTTCCGAGGGCCATAACTTTTTGAGTAGAAAAAACTTGGGCGTAGCCGCTAAGGCTGGGGGGCTTCGCACAACCTGTTCTATCCATTGAAACCAAAATCTGAGATTTGGGAGGGTAGTTTTCGAGAAAATGTATAAAATCCAAAAATATGGAACAAAACTGACACCCACGCATTTTTCGAAGGCTGTAGAAAGTGGGATACGGTGAAAAGAGATCAGATGAGAAATCAGTCACCCAGGGGAGTAGGCGGAATTCCCATTGGTGCCATTTTTTTGAAAATCAGCAGAGTAGTTTTTGAGAAAAAGTAAATTTTAGAAAAAAGTGAAAAATTTTTCCAAAGCGTCAAATTTTTTTCAAATAATTAAAAAAATCCGATCCCATACATTTTCAGAATACCTCTTTTTATCAAAGAGAAATTTCAAAATTTATCTATAGGCACATGTAATTCTTAACCAGGTCACAATAGCTATTCTCCTTAAAGAGCTGAACAGCTCGTAAGTTGGTCTTTCCCTCTTGGATAAAATGTCTTAAAAAATACATTAAGTTGTAAAGAGCGAGCCGTGCACCGAAAAACAAACTAGCCAAGCTTCCAGAAACTTAAGCAATTTGTCCAGAAGGCAGATAAATGGGGTAAAATGTAATCTTTAATGTGTTGGAGAGCTTGGAAAATCACTTGTGAGCTAAGAAAAGTCGATAAAAAAGGTTTTGATATTCCCCTACTCGAGAAAATCTTAGATCCGCGCCTGAGCATCACTATAGGTTCACGTTTTTAACAATTTAGGTCAACCATTCAAGGATATTATAAGCGGTGGCATACAAACCAGTGGAAGTATCAACCAGCAGAAAATACATAAGTCTTATATAATTGTTATGCAACAATTATGTAACAGTTACGGGAGTTATGCAAATTTCATTCATAAGATGAAACTTTTCGGCTGGTTTATACACTCTGCACATTTTCGGTTGGTTTATACTTCGGCTGGTTTATTTACCTCCATTATTAGCGTCAGGTTATTTCAGCATTTTGTTACCTGTAGCGAGTTGGTGAAGACATCGAGTGGGAATGTGAGGATGCTGTTTTTGGCATCGAACATTCCGATATCTTTCTCCTTGTGTCTGATTTTGTCCAGAATGTGCTCCAGCACTTCCTCAAGTGTATTTGCATGCACGTCAATGAACACGTCTCCGTCCTGTAAACGAACATATATTTCAATTGAGGAATAGGACCATATCAAACATTATCCCGTCATAAAAATTGTCCGCAAACAAAGTTTCACCTAAATCAGAGGAACGGGAGCGGATGAGATCAGAGGGACCTCAGTGTCATCCGCCTCCTCCTAAAAAACGTTTCTGGGGAGGACATCGGCACCAATATTAATTAATTTTAATTTCTCGAAAACACACCATCCTCCTCGTCAAAAAATTTCTGCACAACAAATTTCTGCATCTGTCTAATTCTGCTTAATGTTCCATTCAGTCCAAATCTAGCATTTATAAAATTGGGGGGGGGGGGGGGCGACCGAAAAAGAGGCGGCTGGATATTGAAACACCTCAACTGACCTTGAAGAAGTCCTCGATATCCATTGTAGCTCGCACTTCCTTCGTGAAATCTTTCACTTGAACCTTCTTCAGTTCCGAGTGCAGCAGCATTACTTCTTCCGAGTTGATGAAGTTCAAATTCTGCGCCCTCAAATCACTCACACTGTTGATCGTAGTTCCGTTTTCGTCCGAACTATCATTGTCGGGCGCATTCGAGTCGTTATACGACGAGTGCGACCCACGTCGCCCGCGGTGATCATGGGGCGGCGATAGGAGCACTTTTTGGGCTTTGAACCTTCCCATGTGTTTTGGGCGACTGTTTAAAGTGTCGTCATTTGAAACATAGCCGTTGTTCTCGAAGATAAGGCCGTTCCCAACAGGCTGAAAAATTGAAGATCGTGCAATTAATATGCTTAAATGTTGTAATGTTCAAGTAAATTAAGATGATCTGCAGATTTTTTTCTGTTAAATCTCCATTTAAATATTGAGCAAATGAAACAAAATACACACAAAATCTGTATTTAAGTTTTTTCTTTTAAATTAATGCTTCACAAAGAGGCGAAGCTGTAGTCCGCAAACAAAATAAAAGCGGCAAACAGAAGCTCTAAAAAATTTCTAAGGCAAAAAAAGCTTTGAAAAAGAACAAAACATTAAAAAGGAAACTTCACGCTGATAATGAACTCAAAATTATCCGCTTCAAGGCCAAGGAAAACACAATATTCAAGACTTCTAAGTCCTTGCAACCTAATTTTTTAATACAAACTTATGCTTTCACACATGCTTGCCTTAACAGATAGGAGCTGGCAAAAAACATTTTCACACACTAATATTAATAACCATGCATCATTGAATGCGTTTCAATGAAGCGGTTATAGCTAATGTTATTCAAAATCACTAACCTAAAATTAAACACAAAGGCGAAGCAGAGCTTCGCAAAACTTGCGCGTAATACGACAACTCGCAACAAAAGACAACTCGCAATAAAAGACAACTTGCAATATACTCACTGTCGCACAAAGTATGGCCAACAAATTTGATCCCAATTCAAATTATGGCCAACAAAGTAGTCCCACGTTCAAACCATTTTAGTTTTGCAAAAAAAAGATCACGAATGTTGTCTGGAAAAAAATACTCCAAGCAAAAATTTTCTTTCATTTTTTTCGAAAGCTGGAAAAAAATCAATTCGAGAATCTAGCTTGAAAGGAAATCAAAATTCAAACAGCCGCAAAAAACAATGAGCATGAATAAATTTAAGAATTGCTCTTAGAAAAAAATACAATCATAGCCAACAGACAATTGAAAAAGAATCAAAAGCATGAAAACAAAAAAAAATACTGACTTTCAAATTTCAGAGAACAAAATGGATGGCCTTACGACTTTTTAAATTTCTAGAACAATTTATGATTGACTTTTTATTAGTAAATTTTTTTTATTTCGATGAGAATTCTGATAATTAAACTCCATTCTGAAACTAGAAGTTGATCACGTTTCTCGTGACTTTTACACTTTTGCTGTTCGATAGTGGAGTTTTCCATCCTTTTAACCAAGAAAAAGAATTGAACTTTAAAAAGATCAAAAGTCAAACAGCTAAAAACCAAATTTGAGCCCGAAAAAAATTTAACGACTTTTCATGAAAAAGAAAAAAAATCATCACGATCTACAGAAGAGTCTGAAATACGTTCATCGACTCTCGAAGAAACTTTTATCAAAAATTATTTATCAAAAAAATATAAAAAATGCAAAACAAATCCAAAATCTTGGAACTGAGTTACGTGCATCTTTAGAAATTTCTTGCAATACTAGACATACATAGCATGACAAACTATCTGTCAGGAACAGAGATGGAACCTAGAAAATTTCACTTTTAGAAAAAAAATTGAAATAGTTGATCTACCAAAAACTTTATCACCTTTGCCTGGACTTCGTCTAGAATAATGATTTGTTTTACAAAAATATGCTAGGAGGTAAAACAATTGAATATAGAATAAGCATCAAAACAGAAGTTACAAAGTGCTAAGAAATCTGACAATTTTTAAGCAGACACAAAAAATGTGCTTTTTTAAACAATCTTGAAAACTTAATTTTAAAAACAATTTTGAAACAACCCAAAACATTTCAAAAAAATGCACTTCGAACTACTCAAAAAAATGTATATGCTTAAATCGGAGTTGTTAAATCAGCAACCAACAAAAATAGCTAACAGACAGTTGGCAAAGAGTCAATGAACCCATGTGTACAGAAAAAAAACACTGACTTTTTTGAACAAGTCTCAACTTTCTAAAAAAGATGGGTTTGAGGCTAATTTAAATTTCTAGAACAGGTTAAGTACAGGAACTTTCTCGATAAAATTAACCGAATTCGAGAAAAATTGATCAACAGGTATAGTTTTCAATTCACTGGGAAATCTGAAAATTAAATTCTATTTTTGAAACCAGAAGTCAATCGCGTGATTCATGAAATTTACCCTTTTGCTGTTCTATAGTAGAGTTAGCCATTCTTTTAAGACAGAAAATTATCTGAAATTAAAAAATTTAAAAACCAAACCGATAAAAAGTAAAATTGAGCCTGATAAATTTTAAGAGTTTTCCTGAAAAAAATTATCGCGACCTGAAAAAAAAACAAGCAAAAACTGAACACAAAATGCACAATCAGAAATGCTGCAAGTCGAAAAATAAAATCAAAATTATCACATATAAAGCTAGCGGAAACCGAGTCTTTAACTACGCTTGTAACTTTTTTGCTACATATTTAGGATAAGTAAATGTACTTCATTGACAAAAAATAACAAGGATAGCCCATTCGTGTGTAACTAGCAAGCACAATGTTCTGACCAGATTTAAAAAAACTTCAAAACAATTTTTCCAAATTAAGGTCGTTTTGCTTCGTGCGTGCTGTGATCGAAGGATCTGAATGAAAGCCTAAAACTTGAGCAGATCCGATAGTATTAATAAAATAGGCATATTGGACGACCGTTTTTTCAAAAAATTACACGAAAAAAAATTAAAATTTTCTCAATGTTTTTTTTTGAATTTTTGTAGTTTTTTTATAAACCAAATTTTTAAGGTGTTGATTGAAAGTGTGATGGCGTATTCTTCTATAACAAGCTTGCTCAATCGTTTAACTCGCTCGAAATTAGACTAAAACTCAAGCCGGATTTTCTCGTCACTGGGACAATTTTTTGAAAGCTTCTCATGTCGTTCGAAACACGACTGAAAAGTCTTTAATATGATATATCACTTGATTTATTTCGATGATTATTTGTGGTACCTGATTTTGCATGAAAAACAGAAAAGAAAAATAAAAAACACCTGTTTCAATGGTCGGACCAAAAAACTTAAAATAGTTCCCACCTTTTTTTCATTGTCTCCTTTTCCCACCATCTCAATGTTGACTGAATTGGGATCCACTTGTTTCTTAGCCAGATCATTCTTTGCGTCCGTTTCTGTCCTGCTCACTATAATCTTCGGTGTCTCTCGGACGGCGCTTTTGCGCCCATTTTTCTTATCTTTCTCCACTCCATGTTCGACATCTACAATCGGACTGTCGTTGGCACTTGTCGTGCTGTTCGGCGATGCCGAGTCACTGCTCGGGGTTTTGGGGCTGACTTTAGAAGTCGGACTGGTTGCTTTTTTAGACTGCTCTGCATCCGAGGAGTTTTCGGGTCCAGGAGTCACCCCGAGGTTTGTCGGTCGTCCGAGATCGCCTTCAAGGTTATTGAGGGTGCTGTTGGAAGCGCGGTCGCTGGCTTCCGAGTCACCTAGGGTGAAGCTCGTCACCACTACTTTATTGTTTGAGCTTCGCTTGTCCAGTTTGGAGCGTGTCTCGTTGATCGGTTGGGTTGAACTTGAACTAGATCGCTTCTTGCTATTTTCCTGAGCACAATTCAAGTTAAAACGCGAAATAAGCTTTAGATAAAGTAAATAGAGATTTAAGTTTAGTCAATGAAAAATTAATTCAGATATATAAATTATAAGACGGATCTTGTCTCGGTATAAAATCTTGTTACAACGAAACAATAATTTATATTAAGTTTGCGTCCTAATTATTAATTTAGAGAAGCAATTTTTGTCTAGCAAACTTTGAAAAGACGAAAGGAACCAATATTTAAATCAAAAGCCGATTTCAACAAAATGAGCGTCTGTTCGAAAAGGCAGCAAACCGCAATTTAATGGCGCAATTTGAACCATAATCTGAAAGCTTATGAGCTATTTATTATATCGAGAAAATGACTTGGACTAATCTGTGGAAAATTATTTTAGTTTGTGTGAAGTCACGTGGCGTAGGAATTCCATCAATATGATGAATCGAAGTTTTAAATGGTCTAATATTTAAAAGATTTCATGGGAATTTTAAACCATCCGCCCGAAAAAAAACAGAACTCATTTACTGCGACATTAAGCTTAATGGTTAAAAATACTGTCTCAAAAAGATTTTCGCTAAAATCAGCGTTGGGTTAACAAAACTTCATAACTTCATCAGACTTTTTGGCTCTGAAATTCTTTCCAGGAAGGGGCTTTAAAAAGTGAATTAAATGCTTTTGATCCGGAATGATATGTTTTTCTTAGCTAAATTTACACTAAAACTGTTGTATGGTTTTTGAACAAACAACAGTAAAAGCTCTTACCTGACTTCTGAATTCGAACTATACGTGTGGTAGTAATTTGATCACGTTCTGATCACGGTATGATTCTGCCTTTTTTGAGAGCTCAAACTTCAACAATTGAGACTAAATTAGAAATGGTTCTCAAAATGGTCTGCAAAGTCTAAATTCACATGAAAAGCCGCAAAACCGATAAAATTATTAGTTAAAGCTAATGATGATTTACCTCTCAAAAGCTACTTATCAAATGGCTCGAATTTGTTGATTAAAAATTATGATATGTTTGATTAATAGGCCTTTTTTCTAAATCATAGTGATGAAAAAAAATAAAATGAAGTCACAACTTTACAAAAAGAATAAAAGCTATGAGCGAAGCGCGAAAATTAATAAGGCAGGCTCTGAAGCCGATATGAAAAAACTCCAGCAGTTGTAGTACAAACTACTCTAATAAAAAAACTCATTCGAGAAGATAACCGAATTCACTCCCCATTCGATTTTTATTTAACTCATTCATTACAATAAAAAATGCCATCATGCTAAAACACCAAAAAGGCCAGTAAGCGTTTTTGGTGTTCTTCCAGGATTGGATTTTTTATTGTTATGAGTTGTGTGAATACAGACTGTGGAAATTATCATTAGGACTATGATTAATATTATTATTATTCTTTTTACTAAACTTGATCAGCCGTTTATTTCTCGCCCACTGTTTGAAGTAACAAAAAAAAACTGTAACAAAAAAGTATCAATATCTCCGATCAACCGGGAAAAACATGAAATTTAGTAGTGTAAATAAAAGTGAGTTAATATAAAAACAATTAAGTTTCATAACTTTTATAATCAATGCTTTTACAAAAAAAAAATTAAAATACAGGAATAAAGTATGGACCAAATTAACATCCCAATCTCTCCCCCCCCCCCCCCCCAGCAAAAAACTGTTTACGGTTGAGCATGATAACTTGGTTCAGAGTTCAAAATATCAGCCAATCAAAATTGAGCATTGTACAGGCAGCGCTTAGCAAATTTAAATTAAATTGAACGCTGGGTGGAGGGTCTTAACTTGGTCTATTTGGGAGATGAGGGATGTTTGTTAACTTGATCCAAAATTATAATTCATCAATATCCAAAGTTTAAATTTTTTTAACGATAGTAAAGCAATGGCCCAATTCAATCAAGTCCGAGACACAGAAGACATGACAGAGATGATAGAAAAGAGATGAACTTTAAAAACATCTTTAAAGTTGAGTGCTTACTACCAATTAGCCTGCTCTAAGAATGTTGCTGACTCACTTAATTATGTGAACTGTACGAAAAAGTGCAGTATATCTGTTCTTTGCTCTGACAACAAGATGCAAGCAAAAAAACGTGGACTCGACGAGTGAAATCACCAAAAGATGTACTTGCTCTTGCAAAAACCATTATGAAAAACCAGCATCGGTACGTTAAAGGGAGAACTTCTTCCAGTTCTAGCCCTTTCAAGCAAAACATTGCTCCCGTGATGAGGAATGAAAAATCGGCTGAATTATTTGTTAATTTGTCTAGGAGCAGAGAAAAACAAACAAACAATAGAGTACATGTATCAAACGTTTGGCTCTTGCTAGTTTGTAGGTAACGCTATCGTGTTGTTGGTACTAGGTTACACTTATCGGCTGTAAGAAAAAATTGTGTTTAAACTACAATCATCAAGGTTTTGAAACGGTTTAATCATGCGCTCAAAAACTAAACAATGTGATTCCGAAACAAAGTTAGCTGGATGATTACTATGATTGGTAAGCTATGTGCCACTATGCTGACAAGTTTGATCAATTTATCTCATAGTTAAATTTTATGCTAATTAGTTTTTCAACTGACTTTGTAAGTTTGGTTTATATATGCCAAATTATACCGATTCACTAAGAAACATTGTAATACTACTTCTACTCCACAGTGATTTACGACAGTAAAATAACTTTTTATATTGAAATATGGTGATATCTCGAAAAAATTCCAATGATTTTAAATGAAAGTATTTTGTTTTAAAATTCTTTTTATACCGAGCTTTTTAATAAGAACCTAATAATAAGATATTGCGCAAAAATTCTTTTCGGATCCTAATATTCACGTTAAGTTATGAAACTTGAAACTCTCCTGACATTTTCCGTCTACAATGGTATAATGTTTATAATAAGGAAACAAATCTCGACAACAAAAAAACAAGGATTACTTATGTCCTATAAGCTAACGTGAAAGCGACAAAATGGCTACAATTTCCACTAGTCTAGAATTACATAAGATAATGGATGAAAGCTATTTCCACTGAAATCTATTACAAGCGTGATAGCTTCTTTTTTGTGCCAAGTGAAGCGTTTGTCCGCTGATCTTAATAAATAGAAAATTCAAAAAACAAAATGGGTTCATGAGTCAATAAACACGATAAGTTTAAAGCTAGCAATAAATTTTTCATGTCTGGTAACGGCGATTCGCCGCAGGAGCTAGAATTGAATGAAGTGTTTGATTGCTTACTTGAAAACAGTAAAATTACGGGAGATCAGAACGATTTTCTCTGACGTCTCCAAACCATCTCTTTTTTTTCAAACAAATTAATAAAGCCACAAAGAGCGAGGCATGAACTGATCACTTATCAGATTTCTTTGTGAAAAATCAATAATGAAACAAAAATGAAATTTTATCTCAACTAGTTTTGAACACACACACATACATAAGACGCGTTTTACACGTTAAACATTATCAACTATTAGCGACAAAAATTGTATAGTAATAACTAACAGCGGTTCTGGCAAAACGGCCAAGCTTTTACATCAACCTTAAGTCGAAAGACTTTTTCTACAAAGATACGCTCTCTTGGAGCAAATTTTGATGAAATGAATGAACTGCTTCAGCAGCAAAACTTCTTTGTTGATCGAACAGAAACTTGGCTGAGGGACATATTTAATCTTAACATTTTTGCCAAAATGATTTTAAACAAATTGCTACATGTAACAAAACCAAGAAAGAGCTGGAGGGGTAGCAATTCTTTTCAGGGAACAAAACTTTTTAAAAACTTCTAAATGTACAACCTGAAAGAAATATTTAATTTCTTACTTTCGCAACGATCTGTAAGAAACAGAATTGTTTCTAACTGCGAATTACAAGTCGCCCAGCGGAAAAATAGCAATTGTCCTTGAAGGTTTAGTGACCCATAAGTTTGAATAAAAAATTAACGCTAAGACACATGCAGTAAGTGAGGATTTTGTAATAGATGTATCAGTTGCGACACAAGATAGCATAAAAATAATTGTAAAATTAAAACTGCTTGATTTTAATTTGATATGTGAACAAAATGAAATTATACGAGTTAAACAGAACAGTCAACCAACCCTAGATTTGGCGTTTGCAAACGCTCCATGTATCACCAAAATAAATGAACACGCAATCACTGATCTTTTGGTGTAGAAGTTGACTTTAACATTGGCTTTTTAGAAAACTGTGAAACGGAAGAAATTTTTTTGAAACAGAAGACTTTATCATTGGCCTTTTAGAAAAATGTGAAACGGAAGAAAGCTTTTAATTTTCATTTAAGAGCTAGCTCTTATATTAAAATTAGTCGAAATTGAATTCCTGGGCAGTAAAACTGATATCTTTGAAAACATGAGTTTCTGCAACAGTAATTCACATTACTCTGAATGCAATGTTACCGTTGTCAAAAAAAAAACTTCACAAAACTGGATATCGAATGAAATAAAAAAAGCCGAGTGCTAAAAAAAGACAAAATACTGAAACCTTCTCAAACTGAGTGGACTTTAGAAGCAAAGTAAAAACTGAAACAGCAAACTGCCAAGGTCAAAATAGGGGTACGCGAAAATAAAATTATGTATATGGCTTAGTCTTTGAAGCAACTGACAACCCAAGCAAAAATTTAAAGATTCTGTTAGAGATATTAAAAGCGATAAAAGGAAAAACAAATCAAAAACTGAAAGAAATCATAGAAATGTACAAGAATTGAACATTTACTTTATCACAATAGTTCCAGAGTTGTCATCTGGATTCCACAAAAAGAATGATTTTTTGAAAATATCACAAAATGAATTCCTTTTTCCTGTCACGAACTAATGAAAAGCAAGTGAATGACATAATAAAGCAATTACCCACAAAAAATCTAAGGACGGCATGAGTCTCTCAAACTACCCAACTAATTTAAAAAATTCCATTAAAACAGCGTATGTGACCAGTAATTTGACTCAGATAAGTAGTGAAGCAGCTTATCCGACTTATTTACAAGCAGCAAAAAACATTTCTTCTTTCAAAGAAGACAAAAAGTCAGTTCCATGCAATTATAGACCTATTTTTGTAATTACGAATCTAGAAAAATGTTTTAAGAACATTCTATCGAAGATAATAATCATTTTTAAAATAGTTTTGAGGCCTTAAGCAATAAACAGTTTGAATTTCGCAACGAACGTTTTATAAATGATGCTCCTCTGGAAACTTTGAAAGGTCTCATTTGCAGCAAAAACTCTGATGAATTGGCACACTGCACGTACTCAGATCTATCTAAAGCTTCCGATACTGTGAATCATCACACTTTTTATTTATAAATGTCAGCTTTATAGGCTGAAAGGCGTTCCTCTTAAATCACTAAAATCATACCTCAACAAAAGAAACCAGTACAACTTTAATGCAAAAGAATGCTCAACATCAAAGAAGGTACCGCAAGGTTCTGTTTGTGGTCTCCTTCTTTTTCTTATTTAGATCAATCGTCCTCCAAATGAACCTCAACACAGTGAAAGTATTCTTTATGTCAGGGGCACTATCAATTTCGGAACACTTAGCAAAACTATGGGACTAAAAACAAATTTGCAATTAAAATCTTAATAGACGGAAAATTTACAAACAAAGGAAAAACATCAAGACTGACTCCTAACCGATTGAAAAATTTTGAAAAAACTTCCTGGAACTGAACTCGATAAAATTAAATTAAAATAAAACCCTTTGAATCACCGTTTGATAAAAATCTTATACTCAACCAGCATTTTGAAACAATAAGAAAAAAAGCAATCGATTCTTTCCCATTTTTAATCAAACAAGTTAGTTTCTCAGCTCATCTGTTCTCATATGAATTTACAAGCAATTTATTCAACCAAAAAATCAATAAAATATTTCAGCATATGGAGTTGCCAAAAATACCGCTCTAAA